CTTCCATATAGATCTGTCAATTAAAAGATATTATTAATCAATATTTTGTGAAAGTAATCTTAGCATTATGATTTTAAGAATTAATTAATGAGTTATAGGTTACCACACTACAAGAATATCCTAGCTCGGCCCTTGTCAGAAGCTTAAAGAACTAAGAAGACGTTGTGTTTCACTACTATATGCATAACCTTATCTAATCATTAGTATTTTTTTGTGCTGAAAATGAATATGAAAGATATGTCATTTCATATATTTGTCAGAAAGTATTGTTCTTCAACACCACACATCTATTTGCAGGAGACTCTACTGCACCTATAATGAGGCCGAAGTTAATATCTCACCGCATGCTCTAAACGTTGAAGAGTAGGTTTAGCCCTACCGAACTACTATAATTGTGGCGACTCGAACACAAGCATTAAGAGAGAAAATTTAAGTTCTTACCCATGCAAGATATGACTGATATGATAAGGTGAACATCACGCCTGTGACATGATTCTTCCCCACCTTAAGGGAGTGGTCACAGAGCATTAAGTTGACTGCACCAAATTTGGTATTGTATTAAAAACTAAAAATAAAAAAGACTCAATTAGATAAGTCGGGTTATATCTTAAGCAAATGAAAATTATATGGATTGATCCTGAAAGCATTAGAACCGATCCTAAAAACTTGAAATTGATCCTAATTTAGCAGTTGGATCTCGAAGTTGCAAGTTCGAACTTGTCCTTTCTGTTTGACAAAAAAAAAAAATCCTAATTTTTTAGTATTGACCCTAATTGACCTCATTGATTAGTAATTTAGTTTGTTTAATTTTTACCTTGATGAGTATGGAAGCTATGACTCTTGTTTCAATACTGAAATCTTGTTCCCAGTCATGTCTTTGTACTTTTACTGAATTTTATTTCAACATTATAAGGGATTTTGGATGATGCCAGTATTGGAGTGGATGTGAATCCCTCACGTTCATGGCAACCAATTTAGCAATCAGGACACGTTTGTCAAAAAATTGAACCCCTTTTTGAAAGCAACATTAGCAGAAGTGCCACAGAAACTTTCCACTGATAAAAAAACTAAGATGTTCTTTGAGTTAGGATGTACTTTTTGTTACCTTGCTTATTTTTCAACCAATTCGAATGCACCATGTATATACTTTTCTTATTTTATGATTTTTTTTATTACTTTATCACTGTTTTAATCAATGATTACAAATCATCTAATTCAAAATTGATGGCTAAAATTGAAAAAGACACGGTATCAACATCGATACCATAACCTTATCCAAGTCTATCAACCGAAACATAAAACTAAACCAAACCAAACTTTATGTCCTAATTATTTGGAGTCGGCTATATTAGTCGATCTTCGTCATTCACTTTGATCATGCACTATACGTTCATCTAAGTTAAATATTTTCATATTTTCTTTTATTATTTTGTCCCATGTTAATTTAGATCTACCCCAACTTTTAGTACCATTAAAAGAAATTCTTTCACTTTTTCAATCCGGTGCCTCTATTGGCCTCCGTTGAATATGACCAAACTATCTTAATCTATTTTCTCTTAATTTATTCTCAATTGGAGCTATTCTTACCATTTTTCTAATACGATCATTTCCTATTCTATCATTTTCAGTTTTTTCACATTCTCATTTCTATTACACTCATTTTGTCACTATGTTGTTACCTAATTACCCAACATTCTATCACATACAACATTGTTGTCCTTGTAGCTATTAGGTTAAACTTACCTTTCAATTTTATTAGTATTCTTCTATCACATAATATGTTAGAGGCTTGCTTCCACTTAAACCAATCGGCGTTGATTCTATAAATTACATCATTTTCAATCTTTCCATCATTTTTCATGATCGATCATAGATATTTAAATTGTTTACTCGTTGGTATCTCTTAATTTTCAATCGTAACTTTTTCACTATGTCTACTTCTTCTATTACTAAAATTGCATTGCATATATTCAGTCTTACTCCTACTTATTTTAAACTCTTTCGACTCAAGTGTCTCTCTCCAAATTTTTAAATTATTGTTAATTCCCCTTCGAGTTCTATCTACTAATACAATATCATCTGCAAGTAACATATACCTTGGGACATCATCTTGAATGTGCCTTGTGAGTTCATCTATAATTAGGGCGAATAGCTATAGACCTAGGGCTGATCCTTGGTGTAATTCTACTGTGATTGAAAATTCTTTACTTTCCCTCACGGAAGACGTAGTTTTAGTCATAACCCCGTCATACATGTCCTTTATCACCTCAATATACCTATTCCTCACTAATTTTCTCTCAAGCACCCTCCATATTATATTTTTAGGTACTTTATTATACGTTTTTTGTAGATCTATAAATACCATATGAAAAATTTACTTATCTCTATACTTTTCTATGAGAGTCCTCAATAAATATATAACTTCCATAGTTAATCTACCCGACATAAGCCCAAACTGAATTTCCAACACTGTAGTCTCAACTCTTAGACGACGTTCAATGACTCTTTCCCATAATTTCATCGTATGACTCATCAATTTTATCCCTCTATAATTATTTAAAATTTTGAATATCTCCTTTATTTTTATAGATAGATACTAAAATACTTTTTCTCTATTCATCGGGCATTTCCCTAGTATTAATAATTATATTGAATAATTTTGTTAGCCACGACACCCCCTCATTCCCAAAGCACTTTCAAACCTTAATTGAAATCTCATCCGATTCTAAAGTCTTGCCTAATTTCATTTTTCAATGCAAACTCTACCTCCGAATTCTTTATTCTACGAAAGAATGTTTCATGAATTCTACAATTTTCTATCTCTTCTAAGTTTCCTAAGTGATTTTCATTTAATAGTTTTTCAAAATAATCTTTCCACCAATCATTTATTTCCTTATCTTTAACTAAAACTTTTGAGTCATCGCCCTTGTTACACTTAACTTGGTTAAAGTCTCTTATTTTTCTTTCTCTAATTTTAGCTAGTTTGTAATTGTCTTTATCTCTCTCTTTACTATCTTGTTTTTTTTACAACACCAATGGACATTTGGTCCAATGGTGCTCCTTACTTTGTGATAGTTTTGCCTTCTTGAAATCAAGGGTTCAAACCCCCTTCCCCCATCGCCCCTCCCCCTCCCGCTCCCACTCCCAAAAAAATAAGAAAAAAAAAAAGTTTTTTGTACAACTCTTTGTAGGCTTTTAACTTAGCGTCTTTACCCTCTTTTTAACCTCCTTATTAGCTAATTTATATCTTTGGAAGTTCTCTCTATTTCTATCATTTTGTTATCTCTTAAAGAATTCTTTCTTTACTTTGACTATATCTTGTATGTCATCATTCCACCACCAAGTTTCTTTTCTCACAAGCCCTCTACCATTTGACTCCCCAAGAACCTCTTTTGAAATTTTTCTAATATCTTCCGTCATCCTACTCCACATAACATTAGTCTCATCCTCTAGGTTCCATAATGCTAGTTTGTCATCTTTTAGATTCCACCATCTCGTTCTTGTTTTTCTATTGCTTCTCCTTATTCTATGTTGTCCTTTAACAAATAAATCTACAATTGTTAGCCTATGTTGAGATGTTAAACTCTTTCCTGAAATGACCTTATAATCTTTACATGTTAATCGGTCCGTTCTTCTACTTAAGAAGTAGTATACTTGACTTTTGTTTGGTCTGCTCTTAAAGGTTATTAAATGTTCTTCTCGTTTTCTAAATAAGGTGTTTGCTACTACAAGGTCATATGTCATTGTAAACTTTAAAATACTCTCTTCAATTTCATTTCGATCACCATATCCGTAACCACCATGAACCCTCCCATATTGTGTTCTATCTTTTCCTACATTGTCCATTGAAATCTCTACCTATGATTATATTTTCTCCTATAGGTATATATTGAACTAATTCATCAATTTGCTTCCAAAATTATTTTTAATATGTTCCTCTAACCCTACTTAGAGTGCATAAGCGCTAATCACATTAATTATATTCTTTCCGACTACAAATTTGATAGATATAATCATATCCCCTTTCCCTGTCACTGCTACGACACTATCTTTTAGGCATTTATCTACAGTTATTCCTACTTCATTTATTCGTCTATCATTTCTTGTATAGTAAATCTTAAATCTTATATTTTCTATCTCCCTTGCCTTCTCACCTAGCCACTTAGTTTCTTGTAAGCATGCTATAATAATTTTTCTCCTGCTCATAATGTCTACTCATTCCATTGTTTTGCCAATGAGTGTATCTATGTTTCATGTTGCTAATTTAAGTCTATTCTTGTGGACTAACTTCCTAACTTATTTGTTGAAATACCCCGATGTAGGCGCAACGCCCCTAATTAATTTTTCAAAACACCGGAGACAGGTGCAATGTGTCACTTATGGGAAGCGACATAGCATTAACGCATATATCATTGTTTGGACTTATCATAATAGATCTAACAAAATTTTATGCTAGCTGTCGACTACCTAATACAACCATCCTCTTTTATCCTGACTTAAAAAACAGGTAGTGTTGAATATAACACTAGTAGAGTTTCTATCAATTGAAACAAGCACGTCTAAAACAGATAAAATAAAGTACACAAGTACATTTGAATTTATGTTTCCCAAATAACCATTCTTTTAATACCTAATTCTATGATTACAATGGTTTCTAACTTATATCTCAATCTACTTATCCAAAAAATCTAATATCTCAATATACGGTTGCTTGCATAAGCGTGTGTTTGACCCACACTTTTAATGTGAATTAAACCCCTGTTTTTATGGAAATAACAGTAGCCCAGTAAAAGCGTTCGAAACTTATGCAAAGAGGCAATAAAGTTTTAAAACAGTATTTTCGAAATTGATACATTACGATTAAAAATTAAAGAGGATGTTGTACAATTATTACGAGAACAAAATTACTATTTATTATTGGCTGAAACAACGAAAGCAACTAACATTACACCTATTCCCCCCACAACTCCATAGACAGAAAACAGTAGATCACCACCAGGCTAGTCTTGAACTGAAGACCAAGAATTTGCATCGACCCAATTAAAAGCTATAGGACTCAAAAAAGCATCAGGTATGCCAAAGGAACTGACTAAAGCAAGTGCATGTGGTCTGAGTTCACTGCAGAGTTTAGCCACTTCTTTCCTAACAGCAGCAGCGGTGTCTGTTGATAAGTACCCGTATCGAAGGAATGCAGCATCTTCTTCCAAGGTGATCAAGGTATACATGGATCTCAGCAGACCTAATATGTTCTGCAACGTTCAGAACTTAAAGATCAATATATTGTAAACTACCATCATATACAACTTTTATCGTGTTGTTTTTCAATGTAAGTGCACTGCACCAAAAGTGACCAAAGAATTTTCACACTAAAAATAATACTCAATTTACTCCCCATTAATAAGGGTCCAAGAGGGGTAGACAGGGTACAACTCGGGCAGAACCACACAACCTCAAAGTTATTGTGCCGAATTTTAACCTTAAAACAAGGTAAATACTTAAAGCCTACAGCTTTTAGAGGGGAGGATAAACAAACGAAACGAGAAAGAAAAATAAATATTTCTTATTGCTGTTCCAGCAAATAAAAGAACTGAACATTTTCCAGTGAAACTCCTAGTTTAGATTTGTGATTGTTTCAATGTAAATTGGCTGCCACATTGGACTAGATACCAAATAATTTTCTTATGAAAAATATAAGTGGCTATACTTAGAGCCACAATCTAATCTTCTAAATCCTTTTCTTATATTGGATAAGTGAATCGATGTTACGCTCAATCCATTATACGTTATCAACTGCTATATCAAATCTAGCTACAGCTTATTAGTACAACTGAAATCTAATTCTTTCGGTGTCTTCTATCAATGTCATTCACATTGCACAACTCAACACATTTGAACAGTACACCTTTGTATCATACAAAATTGTCAATGAATATACAAAGTAGGAAAAAATTTCTGAATACCTTCAATGGTCCTGCAGATAAAGTTGTCTCAGCCTCCAAAATGGTTTGCAAAATCGCTCGATCTGAGAAAGCTCTCCCCAAATCTTCAGCAAGCTGATAACTCTGGGAAAATACCGAACAAGAAGTTGTGAGAGAGAGAGAACGGGGTGTGGGCTTTAGGAATGACAAATGATATAACAATCGACATCCTCACCACAATGAGCGCATGTTCTTTGCTTTCTCCTTGCCCTTGGTGTTGTGAAACTTCCGCGGCAAAACGATTCAATAAATCTCGCTCTCTTAAACAGAATATATTAGTCTGAAACAGACAAGGGTGACAACTTCCCAGCTGTTCTAATCTCATGCATCTAAAATACACATAGAAACAAAAGCTTTGTTACCTGGAACTCAACACTCCTCAAGGTAGAACTTGTTGGCTTAGATGGGATAACAGGACAGGACTTGTTCATGTGATCTAATCCCAATCCATTAAATGGTTTGTTCCTCTTCTTGGCAGCTACGTATTCTGCAAGGAGTGCCTTGCTGACCTGAGTCACAAAATCCATAAATATCAATGCTTCCAGACAAAAAAAGACAAACTTGACTTGAATGATACTCATGCTTCAAACTGCGGACCTTTCAAAATTTACTTTACCACCATCATTAAACACACCAATAATTAACCCCAAAAAATAGAGGTTGGCTACTACAATAATATTTAAACCATTAACAAAGGACACTCTGATTTCAGTATTTTTGCATGTTAGACTACGACTTATACTGTTATACACATCAAAAAAGTTCAGAACACAACACTTGACTTGCATTTCCAGTTTATGTTTCACTTTCATGTCAACAATCAACAAACATTGAACAAATATTCATAGTAAATAACATTTTCTGGCAATACCTGCTGCATAAGAACATTGTTGTCCCCCTCAAAAGTGGACTGCACATCATATTCACTTTTCAGATGACCAACACGATTTTCAGTCTTTAAACCTTGTCCACCACAGGCTTCACGACATTCCTAATTCATACATCAGAAAAACATCAGTAAGAAAGCTTCCCAGGACTACAACCAATATCCTAACAACAATTGTGGCTTACAACCTGAAGGGTCCGCATGTTATGCCAAGTTAAAGTAGCCTTGAATGCACTAGAAACAACATGGATGGTTTTGATCAATTCAGGTGTCCTCTTAACATACAACATTTTCAAGTAGTTTTCAGCAAAACTCATAGCATATCTGCAGCAGAAACAGGACACCAATGAGTTAGTATAGCAACAGTCAGTTGAACAAACCATGAGTTCATCATGGCAGGAATAGCATGACCAGTTTGACTTGCTAACAGGTTAGCAGAAAGGGACATCTCAAAGAACAGGACTCATGTCTCCTTTGTCAAACAATCAAACTAAACAATATATTACTTTTTGGTGTGGAAATATGCCTCCTAAATAGCATGCACCCTATAGTTCCGGAAATTGTTGCCCATCTCTAATATCCGTTGAAATTGTTGCCTCCATCAAGTCAGTGGGTGCCTTTACCCATGTTACCTAGGTCAAGAACTCCCTTTGGAGCCAGAATCCTTGCAATAAGGTGTATAGGCATCGAGGAGAGAACATGTTTAATCGAAATGCGCCCCCGTTTTGCCTCCACCAGAGTGGACCATTTGCCCAGAGCATTCTCTGATCACTCTCTTCTAGTAATCTCCTTAAGAGATTCTAAGCCTCGCACGCCAGGGATCTTTCACTTCCAAAGAATGTGGATTCGGAATGAAGATATAGTAGTAAGCCTGTACCAACTCATAATACCCATGTCGAGTTTTTACTGGGACCACCCTTACCACGACTGAAACATGCTAAAGGCCATGTCAGGCCCAAGAGAGAACAAAGATTCCACCAGTATGCAGTCAACATTAATGTCCGAGAAAAAAACTTGAAGATAAATGCTCAACATCTATGATGCAGGGATAACCTTGAGAATGTGACGTATCCTACCACTTATCCATAAGATATGGGCAGAACTAACACAACAATAGGTTCTAGTACTTCAACTAACCTCTCACACTCGCTCACAAGAATGCATTATTTTCTATGAGGGTTGCTAGTAATATGAAGACTCTAAAGCATAAAGTATGGCATTCATGTAGCTATATATCTACACCACCTGCCCCTCTCAAATGCGAACAGAACCTCACATATGTACCTTAACAATGTAATTTTATACCATCTAATTACTAGAACAAAGCTATAATTTTTTTTTTTAAATGGTAATCGTAAATAATAGTAACAAGATACTTACGTCTTCGCAAGCAGAGGTAAGAGCCGCCGTTGATGACTTGGGTAATCAAGCAAAAGGACTTCAGGTCCATTAGGTGAAACAGAAAACGCTCTCCTCGTCAATGAGTACCTTATGGCAATGGCTAAACTAATCTGATGAGAGAACAAACAAGATAAGATATCAACAAAATTAGTGTTAGTAATAACCTAAGAAGCATGGACACGGACACGGGACATGGCTACGACACGATACGGACACTCAAATACGACATCTCTCAAAAAAGTAGGACACGGACACGTTGGGAACACGCTACAAAAAAGTCATATTTTATATATAACATTATATAATTTATTGCGAATATAGTGATAATGATATACAATTCATAAAAAATCAGTATTTTATGATAAGAAAACCTAATCTCTAGTCATCTGTGTAAAATTTTAGACTAAAACATCCTCATTATAGTCAATAATCATGAATTTTTTTTTGTAGACAATGTGTACCTAATATATAATTTAAATAATTATTCTCATTTTCTCAATTCCTCTTTTTATTTATGCATCTTTTATTTTTATTATTATATTTGGAGTACAAATTTAATATGTCTAGTATTAGTAATTATATGTTCTTAAATTTTTAAACTTTATTAATCACATTTCAACAAATATCTATTGTTTAGTAGTAGACACGTTCTAAAAAAGTGTCGGACACGTCACCAAAGAAATGTCCGACACATGTCCAAAATTAAAAATTTATCATTTAATTATGAACACGGATAAACAAGTATCGGATACGTGTCCGAAGAGTGTCGGTGTCCAACACGGATACGTCACGTTCTCGAGAGTGTCCGTGCTTCATAGGTAATAACCAGCTTAGTACAATTCTCCCACATCTATACAAAACATGGAAAGATAGTTCCTTGAACAAATCCCCCACTTTGCAATTTACCTTCGATGAGTAAATCGCAGCGGCAGCAATGGTTACACGTCCAGATGTCAACGGGGCCAAGAATGCTGCAAACCTCTGAAAACAAATTATCATGTGTAAGTTTAGCTTAGAATATTGTCATTTCAGCAACAAATCAATAACCCTTTGCTAAAACCCCAGCTAGCCAATAAAGTCTCTAGGTAATCACATTAGAGACTTGGAACCAATTTTCAATCTCATCAAGGTTTATTGGTTCTATGTGTAAAAGGGAAGGCTACATATCAAGTTGTAACCCATTGTCCAAGAAATTGACAAAGGTAAAAACATAGATCCATTGCTATACGCTCATAAAAAAGAGAGTAAGTCAAACCTGATCTGGGTCTGTTATCGCGCTCAGATATTTCCCATCTAACGAAACATCAGCTACTGAATTCAACAAATTCTCTCTAGGTATACGGACATTGTCAAACCTAGCATACACATAAAGGAAAAGAACAAAGCCTAATTTCAAGTACCTTCAAAAATAGTGAAGTTATTTAAATTGACATAAGGAAAGAAAAAAAAAACCTTTAGAAAGACAGCTATTGCCTGTTTCATGGAATTCAATAAAAAAAAAGGGATTATATTTTACCATATTCGACCATTATCAACACCATTCAACCCAATCTTATGACCACAATCAGATATACGAATGTTTGGACAGACATTTCCATCTGAATCTCTGATCTGGGCTATAAATGCATGAACCCCTTGATTTTTCCCATCAATATTAAGCTGGGAAAACACTATTGTGTGTGTAGCATGCTGCACAGCAATTAAGGGAAAGAATGTCAATTTTTTTAGGCTAAAGCAGCAACCAGGAAAATAGCAAAATAGAAATCAAAAAAGCTAATTTTGGAACATAAAAGAAGAATCTTACATTAGCTGCTCCGCCAATCCAGTACTTCTGAGCTGATTCACATGGTGTGTTAATAACAAACTCTCCAGTATTTGAATCATATGTGGTTATTGTTTCAATGCCTCGGACCTAGAAATAGAAAGCCGGAAAAAAATTAAGGAAACTAACAAAAAAGGATGAAATCCATAAATAGGCCAAACGCCCAAAAAAAAATTCTTAAACTGCCTTACATTACTTCCATGCCCCAACTCCGTCATTGCAAAGCAACCCTTGACCTTATAATTTTCAGTGTCCTTCAACCACTTCTCATGATGGCGCTTTGTGCCAAAAAACTGAACTGCACCACCCCTAAAATACGTTGAGGAGAGAGAACCTAATTGATAAGTAAATTATTTGGCAAATTCTTTTCCAAATTTCCCAACTCAACGTAGATAATTATTATTTGATATATAACTCTACAAGCCTAGCCAATTTTAATCAACGAGCAATATTGTCATGGATATCAGATAAACACCAAAAATTACACATATTTCCAACAATTAACATACCACAGAAAGAAATGCACCCCAATCTTGATAGCAAGTGAATGATCAAACATCCCAATAACCTCCAAGAACGAAAACTTCCTCAGCTCTGATTCAACCCCTTTCCCAGTAAGCCATCCTTCAAAAACCCCACAATCCAACAAATACCCAATTCTTTTCATGGTCATCTCTCTCTGCTGCTCCATTGACTGATTATAGTCAGGCGACACAAACAGTTTCCCACCCCTTTCTTTGGAACAAAACAGCTTGTTCTGTATCATGAGGCCATACAACCAGTCCCGATCCGCGAAATTGTGGTTGTCCATGAGTTCTCTCATTGATCTGGTGTCGAACTGCGAGGTCTCGGCGAGTTCTGGAGGAGAATACTGGAGGCATATGGAGGGTTCGATAGAAGATGATGGTGAGGAAAGAGAAGGTCGGTGGAGGTGTCTATTTAGTATTTGGGTTCGAAATTTGACTCGATCCATTGTAGAAGATGATGAAGAGGCCACTGTTGAGAGCTTGAGAATTAGAAATCCACGGTGTTTCCTTGTGTGTGTACGATGGGAACCAGAAGTAGCAGAAGAGACTTGGGAATGGAAGAATTTTTTTTATTTTGGGTAAGTAGGGAATGGAAGAAGTTAAAAGATTTGTGTGTTTTGGGTGGGGAAAGTGATATAAAATTGGAAGGTCGGTAACCTACGCGCGTAGATCATTCGTTGGGCACGCGACACGGACGTTCTCTTTTGGTCTGAGAAACAATTATAATGCAATGTGAAGCGTGTAAAGATGTAGAAATTTAGGAACGTTAGTCGTGTAATTCTTCTAAACGCTGAGCACTCTCACACGAGCAAATTTTCCATGAATTTCCGTTGTTATTTTATAAAATTTGTATTGTAAATTTAATTTTTTAATTTACGCATTAGACTAATTCGCATTTTTCCTTACTTATGTATTTATTTGTTATTACTTAAATTTTTATTTAAGAAGTACTGATCAGACCCAACTCATGTTATGAGCTCAGTTTAAATTAAAAGTCCAACTTATAAATATCCTGTATCCAGTCCAACGGGGTCCACACCCGGTCAAGCTCGCCAAGGGAGTAAACAGGGTCATCCAAGAGTCTCATCCACGCCGCCTTATAAATAGTCAACTCCCACGTTATCCTTTGACCGAATCTTATAGAGAGTACTGTAACTGTCTCATCCGTTGAGAAGATGGTGTCAACTCCACCAGATCAGTTATTTAGTTACTAATAACTCGCCTCAATCTATTATGAGGCAATTATAAATTGTAAGTCCCGCCAACACTTAGTGGGCATCGCATTCGCATCTCTCCTATCTCTCTCAGCTTGTAACTCGCTCCTCTCCCTACACACTTAAAGTAATAAAATACTCCAGTAACCCTAGTCATTTAAAGTGGACGTATGTCACATTAACCGAACCACTATAAATCATTGTCTTACTTTTTGTCTCCATCTCTCACTTTTTAATTATTACATTTATTACTGCTCATTTAACAGATGGTGTACAAACTTAATTTGCGTATCATCAGTTTGGCGTCATCTGTGAAAACGACAAAATTCTCATCTAAGTACATCTCTTATTGTACCTATGGCGATCACCACCAGATCCATAAATTGACCTGAATATAATCTACCACGAGGGGAGGAGATTGCTTCTCCACCAATCAATCATGTTCCAAATGCACAGTAGATACTGGATACAACACAATAGCTCGTAACTTAGAATCAGCAAATCTTGCAACTGATGCTCGCAAGACAACAAGGCGGAGCACAGCCTGGAGGACATCAAGCCAGAGGAGCTCCACACCCTGAGGGTCAAGGAGCTCCCCACTTGGACACCCCTTTAGGAGCCCCTACTCCACTTGGGCGCCCCCTTTTGGAGCCCTCTTAGGTGCCCCACACAGGGGAGCCCCTCCTCAGAACTATGAGGCAACTTCGCCTCCTCTTCCAGCTTCCCCTTCCCATGGTGGAGACTCTCATTTCCAAGAGGATGATGGCAAGAAAAAAGTGTGGAGCACGAGAGTCATTTCCATGACAATTCCAAAGGAGCCCCAAATCATTGGAATGAAAAAATCAAAGAAGTACAGAATCAACTGGACAACATCTTCAATGCCATAAAGGCGAAAGGACTAGAAACTGTGGAGTATCTCGTAAGGCGAACTGGCACACCTTTTGTGCCAAATGTAGGGAATTACCCATTTCCCCAAAAGTTTAAAATGTCACCAATAGAAACTTTAGACGATACAAAGGACCCACTTGATCATCTCGAAACCTACAAGACCTTAATGCATCTACACAACGTCCTCGATGAAATTATGTGTAGGGCATTCTCAACTACTTTGAAGGGATCAGTGTGACAATGGTTCGCCAAACTCACTCCAGCTTCCATAGGCTCCTTTGCTGAACTAACCAGATCCTTTGTGACACAATTCATTGATGGACACCGTCAGCAAAAGCCTATCACTCATCTGCTCAGTATAAAACAAAATCGAGATGAGAGTTTAAGGAGTTACCTCACCCGTTTTAACGAGGAAGTCCTCCAAATCAAGGAGCCCAATGACAAAGTCGCCATGACCGTCTTTCTGGGAAGCCTCCGCTCATCGAGTTTTCTCTTTTTAGTAATGAAGCGACCACCAAAGAACATGCCAAAATTATTGGTAAAAGCTAAAAATATATGAATGCTAAGGAAATCAACAAGTTCAGGCGAGATGAATCATCTCACGGATATCCAAAAGCTTGACCTATCTCTGCTTTGCTCTCAAGTAGATAGCCTATGTCTCCAACTCAGCAGCATTCTCGCGGGTCGCCAAAAGCTTGGTTTATCTTTACTCTGCTCCTAAGCAGGCAGCTCATGTCTCCAACTTAGCAGCTCTCTTGCAGGTCATCAAAAACTTGTTCTTTCTCTAATCTTCTCTCAAGCAAGCAACCTATATCTCCAACTGAGCAGCTCTCTAGCGGGTCGCCAAAAGTTTAGCCTCTACTCTACTCTGAAACAGACAGCCTATATCTCCAACTGAGCGGCTCTATCGCGGGTCGCCAAAGTTTGGCCTATCTCTACTTTACTCTCAAGTAGGCAACCCATGTCTATAGCTAAGCAACTCTCTCCCCGGTAGCCAAAAGCTTGGCATTTGCTCTACTCTCAAGCAGACAACCTATCTCCAACTTAGCGGCTTTCTCGTAGGTCGCCAAAAGCTTGGTCTCTGCTCTGCTCTCAAGTAGGCAGCTTATATCTCTATTTGAGCGGCTCTCTCGCGGGTCGCTAAAAGTTTGACCTACCTCTGTTCTGCTCTGCTCTCAAGCAGGCAATCTAAACCTCCATCTTAGCGACTTTCTCATAAGTTGCCAAAAGCTCGGTCTCAAAAGGTAAAGCTCTCTCACGAACTATCCTCAAACTCTTTCTTTGCTCTCATGCAAACAATTCGTCTCTCTCTTTAGATAATCATGTTAGATATTTTGATGTTCAAATAACATTATTTTTTTCATCTGTAGGCCCACCTTTGAAACTTAGGTCATCTGTAACCCGCAAGACTACATTAGATTGAATGTCAACAATCAGGGCCTCATAACTCCATGTTCATTCTCAATCACTGCGCCTGGTTCGCCTAGTGTTGGAAAATCTGCGCCCAGCGTGCCTAAGCCCTAGTCTTACTTCACAAGAGGCACATGTCGCCAACTGCATCTCGCCCAGCAGCATAGACGCCTTACTAGGAGTGCCCAGCGCTATAAACGCCTCACCGCTAGCACTCGCCACCTAGAACATTTCGCCTAGCACCACATGTGCCCCTCCAACAGCTCCCAGCACCATGCACTCCCCTCCAGCAGTGTCCAGTGCCATGGGCACCCCCCAGCTACGATTGATGCCATAGGCACCCCTCTAGTAGCGACCAGCGCTATGGACATCTCTCTAGTTGTGGTCGGCAAAATGGGCGCCCTCCAACAGCGACCAGTACCATAAGTGCCCTTCCAGCAACGCCTAGTGCCATGGTTGCCCCTCCAGCAGCACCCGGCCTTATATGCGCCTCTTCAGCGCAACCCAACACCACAAAACACCACTCTATCAGCGCCCCTCCGGCTCACCCAGACAACGCAGCATCCCATCCTGTCATCCCAGCCAACACAACTACCTCTTCTGTGCGCCCAGCCAGTGTATCAACCCCTCATGCGAGCCCAACAAGCACAATCGTCTCTCCTACGCGCTCGGACAACTCGCTCTGCGACCCCACATCAGCGCCGCCTTTTCTCTGGCACCCATAGCTGGCTTGACCAGGACCTCCACGCTGTCATAACCCCTGGCAGCCCCGCTGCCTACCTCTGTGCTAGATGCTCCATCGCTATGGAAGCTACAAAACCTTCGAATCTTCTCTTTTTCACTCGACATTAAATTCTGAGAACTCATCTGAGGAACAAAACCTCTAACCTTGGTCATCAAGTATCTCAAGAAGGAAGTCTCTCTCAAAATTGTATGAAATGGGTGGAATGGAAAAAGGGAAAAAGTCCCTACTTGAAACCAAGGGTTCTTCAAGAATCCAAATAAAAATGGGGAAGGTCTTGAGGTGTTCTATAGAGAAGAAGGGGAAGAGTCATTAGTCAAAAGGAGTCTCCGCCAACCGAAATTTGATGTTCAACCAAATGGCCCCTTCTCCAAGTTTCATTGGTCACAAGGCATTGGAGGGCAAATGATGGACTAGACTCAATGACCCAACTTATGCTACAAACCCAATTTAAATTAAGAGCCCAACTTATAAAGATCCAATATCTAGCTCAAAGGGTTCCACGCCCGATTAAGCTCGCCAAGGGAGTAAGCAGGGTCATTCAAGTGCCTTATTCGCACCGCCTTGGAAAGAGTCAACCCTCACGTCATCCATTGAGGAGAGGGCACCAACTCCACCAAATTAGCCACTTAGTTACTAATAAATCGTCTCAATCTGTTATGAGACAACTATAAATTGTAAACCCCGCCAACACTTGGGGGACATCGCATTCAATTGAGCATATTTCTCCAATCTCTCTTAGGTTGTAACTACATGTTATCCTACACACTTGAAGTAATAAAATACTCCGGCAATCCTAGCCATTTAAAGTGGACGTAGGTTACGTTGACCAGACTCCTATAAATCCTTATCTTACTTTTGTCTCTATCTCTCACTTCTTAATTACTACATTTATTACTGCTCATCTGATAGGTGGTGTACAAACTCAATTTGCGTATCATCAATATTAAATTAGAATAATATTTGTAAACTATAATCATCATTTTAAGATTTTATAATTAATATATATTAAATAATTAAATAATTTGTTAGTTGTACATGAAATTTTATTTATATTAAATTTTTATAGGTAAATGTGTGTCTATATGCATATAATATAACACTCTCATGATACTCCGACTTTCATTTTTTTTTTAAATGTGGACGTTTTTATGTTGTCGCTCTCATTCTCGTTCCTACTCCTGTCATCCCAATCATTGAAGGAACTACATTGGGCTAAGGGCCATAACTCTCTCAAATTTTCAAAAATACCTCAGGGGTTTTCTAAAAGTCTTATACTTTTTTAAAATAATTTACAATTTTTTATGTTCTTATAATTTTTTTTTGTATATATAGTATAATTTTTTGAGAGTGACTTTAAACCTTTGAATCAATTCTCTTGAACTAATTTAAGTCCTTATAATGCTTTTATGGATTTATAATTCAAATTGATAACTGCCATGTTATGTAAATTTGAATTCATGTGCAAGACTTTTTATGTGACTTTATCAGTTGACAAAATGTCAAGTCAAACGTTTAAGTTTTAAATATTTTGAAAATTAAAAGTATTCAAATAACAGGCCATGTAATATAATGTTTATTGTATTTAAATATTAAAAATCATGTGCAAGGCATTCTAGCGGTCGATCAATTTATATCTATGGTCCAATCAATAACTCCGCACACATGAGATTTCTAATATTTAAACACTATAAATAGTGTATTATAGGGCCTTCTCCATATTTGAATATTTTAAATTTCAAAATGTTTAAAACTTAAATGGTTCACTTTACATTTGGCCGCCCCATTAATGGTAACTTTTAGCAACAATAAAATATTGTTATTGTTATTTTTAACTAACTTAATGATTAATACTTATAAACAATTGAATAAATATTCTAATTCAAAAGTTTTGTATTTTGAAATAATTATAGTAAATTTACAACAATCCCCCACATATATTTCAAAATACAAATAAGATTAAAAAAAATCGATTTGGGAACATAAATATCTAATGCATTGTGAGGAAGTCTTTTAGAATAAATAAGACTGAACTTACAGAAACTCAGTGAAATTTAAAATTTTTGTGAACTATATTTTCTTTAATGTAAACTGATTGTACGTATCACCCTTATTAAATTCTCTAATTTGAGTTTGTTCATTGCAATGTTAGTGCAAATAATTCATACACTCTATCTGAATATTCATAGATGTTCTAAAAAACTTGTCCAAGCTCTAATAGGAAGCAGCCCCACTTGCACATTTATATAGGTGTATCCATCAAGTGAATACTGCAACTAGAAACACTATCTAATCTAGGCTATGGATCCTTTAAGAGTTAAACTCAGCCTTATACTTTGTGATTTTCACTATATACACCATAAGGATAGAATCTATATATTAATAAAAATTATGATAGTAGTGACTTGTTTTTCCCCATATAAACTAACTTCAAAGGATCTCCATTCATATAAGTTGGGTTACCATCACTTGCAATTTTTGTATAGGCATAAGTTCAATCCCCCGCGATGTATCATCCACTAGTCTTTTCCCTTGTGGTTTTGTTCGAGGATATGCCAAATTTATCTCTGAACTCCCAAAATCTAATAATATTATCCTATCATTAAGCAGTTGCCTCACAATATTATGTTTTAAGCATATATGCTTATTTTTACCATTATTGGTCTTATTATTTGATCTTGCTATTGCAACTTGGCAATCACAATGCATAGACACGGACGAAATTGATCTCATCCATAAAAAAGATATGCGCCAAGAAATTTTTTAACCACTCAATCTCAGTGTCAACCTTCTCTAAGCTAATAAACTCGAACTCTATAGTAGACCGAGATGCACACGTTTGTTTGAAAGATTTCCAAGACACTGCACCCCTACCAAGGGTGAACAAATAACCATTTGTAATTTTATCTCTTCTAAATCAGAGATCCAATTTGTATCGCTTTACCCTTCTAGTATATCAAAAAGTCCACTATATGATAAACCATAATTAAAAGTCTCTTTCAAGTATTTCAACAATTTAGATATAACATTCTAATGTTCTTTATTGGGGCAAATGTGTGTATCTACTTAACCTAACAATTGCATATGAAATGCCAAAACGTGTATAAATTATAACATATATTAAACTTTCAATTATTTGAGTATAATCATTTTGACACATAGAATCACTTTTATGTTTCTTTAATGTAACGCTAGCATCATAGGATGTAGAAAATTAAGTTTATGATCAAAATGATTAAATTTTCTAAGAATCTTATCCACGTAGTGTTCTTGAGATGACGTCACACCATTAGGAGTTCTCAAAATCTTAATTCCTAAAATTATATTTACCTCCCCCATATCTTTTATGTCAAACTTAGACATCAAGAATTTTTTAGTATTAGTAACAATCTCTGAACTTGTTCTCATTATTAACATATCATCAATATACAAACAAATAATTAACATCTTTGATTACAAGCAAAACCGTTTTCACATTCATTTGATGAATTACTAACCTTTATATAGAAGCTATAGCAATCAAAACCCTAATTAATGTTATTCTTGTAATTGGATAATAAGTATCAAAATAATCAACATCTTTCTTTTTCTTGTAATCTTTAGCTACTATTCAAGGTTTTGTATTTATCAATTGTCTCATTGGTTTTTAATTTTCTTTTAAAAATTCATTTGCACTCAATAGGTTTTGCACTAGGAGCTAACTCTACTAATTTTCATGTATGATTGGACATTAACAATTAGAAATGTGAAAAACTTATCTCCTAAGTTAGTCTATTCCTTACTCTTTTATTCTTTCTTGGTTCAAGTATTTCTTCCCAGAAAGTATCATCTTTGGGTTCATTACTAACATGAATTAATTTTCTCGTATTTGATACTCTATTTTCCATAGTAAAAATATTGTCGAAGAATATAGAATTTTTCATCTCAATGATTGTGTTAGGTTCTAAACTATTATGCTCACTTCTAATCACTAGAAACCTATATGTCGTACTATTACTCGAATAGCCTATAAATATATAATCTGAAGTTTTAGAACCCAATTTTCTGTTCTTTGAATGCCCTATCCAAAATTTATAAGGACTTTTTTCTATTTTATTATGTGGAATTCTATTTTGAATATGACATACTGATAAAATTGCTTCTCTCCATAAATTATCCAGCAATCCTGAACTTATTAATATAGAATTTATCATTTTCTTTAAAGCCCTATTTTCCCTTTCGACTACGCCATTGGATTCGGTTGAGTATGGAGGGGTAACATCATGCATAATGTCTTGTTGTTCACAATAGTCATTAAAAGTATTAGATTTGTATTCCCCCCCCCCATTGGTTCTCGACCTCTTTAATTTTCTATTCAATTGATTTTTTACTTTTAATTTATACTTGATAAATATTTCACTAGCTTCATCCTTATTTCTAAGCAAATATAATTGGGTATACCTCAAGAAACCATCAATAAAAGTAAGACAATATCTTTTTTTACCTCTTGTCATGGTATTCTTAAGTTCGCCTATATCACTATGTATCAAATTAATTAAATCGATTTCTCTTTCAACCCTCCAAGTAGATTTTTTAGTGATTTTAGATTCAACACAAACTTCACATTTATCAACATTCAAATATATGAACAATTAGACATAAAACCTAATTCTCTCATCTTCTTAATATGGAAGCTACAACTATTTTGGATGTGACAAAAATTGAGCCTTTCAATGGGCTTAATTTTCAGTGTTAACAACCAAGAATTCTGATGTTATTAAACATTGCATGTGTTGTCTTTGTTTTGACTAATTTAAAACCCAAAGAAGACACATAAAATTATGAGAAGGAAAAAGAAAAATAGAAAAAGGCTGATAAGATTTTTTCGAAATATTATCTTAAATGCTATTTCGTCTAATCTGTTTGATGTTTACTATAATGACAAACATGATAATGAGATTTGAGATAATTAGTCAAAAAGTATATCGTCGAAGATACAGAGATTAAAAAGTATGTCATAGAAAATTTCTCATACTATAAAATGGTTGAGGAGAAAGATGTGTCTTCTCAAATAATTGTTAACGAGTTAAGGAAAGAAAGAATTTCTTTACCTAAATCATTCGTAGGTATTTTTACGGATAGAAAG